GATATCGGAATCCGAGATAAGCGAATAAAGGACAAGAGTCCTAAGACGAAGAGGGGACTTAACCAAGATAAGGATAAAACTCTTAGGGAGTTTATCTTTATCTCTTAAAGAGTCCAAAGTAAGTATTAAATTGGAGTTCATAGAAGTCATACTTCTAGTAGGACTTGGATTGAATATATTATAAAAGAGAGGCACCCCGTGGGTCGAAGGTATGGAATTTATGTTTTGAGTATTAAGTTTTGCACTTGATTATCTTTGAGAGATATACTGACTTGATCGTCGGAGTACCCCCGGGTGGAAGAACCACCGCCGGAGCCTTTTCTTTCTGTTTCAGGTTGCTGAAACCATCTATTCTGCCTGTGCTCTCCAGTTGATCACTAAGCAGGCAGTGTGGTCAGATTTTCACCCACACAATTTCATATGTCCATGAGTGTAATTATAACCATAAAATAAATCCATATAAAACCCTAAACCTTGCGTACACAACTAATCAAAATAATTAAAATCAAACCATCATTTTCATACAAATACCATATCAAACCAACATCAAATATATATAAAAATAAATAAATAAATAAAAACAACGAAATAAACATAAATTAAGAAAATTGAATTTTGTACTCACAATTATTTTTTAAAGATCAAAAAAATATTTAAAAACCTAATAAAACCACCAAAATAAAATCCTAATCTATTTTTTTTCCTCCTCTCCTCTTTCTCTCTCGACTTGCTTGCTGAGAGCTCTCTTTTTTTCCTTTGATCACTCTCTCTCTCTCTCTCTCTCACACAGCTGCTCTCTGCCGCACAACACACCACTTTCTCTTTTTTTTATTTGTTTTCTTATTATTTAAGTGAACTTCTAAACCTAATTGCCTTCTTACATAATATAACACCTTTTTTTTATATAATATTATATTATATAAATATGCTATATATGATCAACACATATATATAAATTACCTTTTATATATAATATATATATATATATAAATATTCAGATTAATTATATATAAATAAATAATGACCTACGAAAAATTAAGATTGCTATAACTAATTATTACTATATGACAAATTGGTGGTGAATTTTATTTTATTTTATTTTTTCCATTTTGTGGACCCAAATAAAATGAATCCTTATTAAACCTATAGGCATATAAATTTTAAAAGCAAAAATATAATAATAATGGGTCAAAACGATTAGATACTGATTAGGTAAGATACATATGATAATCTTGTTGATAAATTAAAAGATCACAAAGCTTTTCAATTTTTAAGAAAACGATAATAAGCTTTTCAATGTGTTGTCCACGTAGCCATTTTTCATTTGGTTTTTACATAATGGGTATCTATTATTATATATATATATGCACTATCAATGGCTAACCATCTATTTTAAATAAAATTATATATATTTGGTTGATGACTAACACCACCAAACCGTAGTTCTAATGGAAGCTTGATTCTTACTTCTTACTTTCTTTGTCCACTGCTAAAATGTCGTTGTAAATTGTGAAGAAACTATATGGATCTTTCAATAATGTTCGTGACCTGAATTCAAAGACTGTATAAAAGGATCGACATTGAGTTAAATTGTAAAAATAATGTCCAAGTTTATCTTGTGAATTTTTATTTTTGATGGGCCATGTCGATCTGATTTAATCTCAAAAAGATTGAACTCGAATCCTGTCTAATGGGCCAATTCATAAGCTAGTCTTATCTTCAAGCTTACTTTTGGACTTTTTTTAATTTATTTATTTCTATTTTATGATAGACTCAATAACCAAGTTGTCTGGTCAAAGAAGACCTAATCCAAGTCTTATTATTGAGTTGAGTAAAAACCCAATGAATCAGGTGGGCCTAGGTGTCACAAACCTTCCGATCGAATGCCTACTATTACATGAGAGCTTCAAAAGGTCGGGGAGGGATTGGTCGGTGTAGGGTTAGGGTTTACAAATAGGAATGGTAACGGGGCAGGGCGTGGCGGGACTGAGGACTACACTCTCCATCCCCGATTCCCGAAGGCTGAAAAATTCCCGTCACCGGCCCCGATCCCCGGCGGGGGAATCCATCACCCCCTCGTCTCCATCCCCATCCCCTAACGGGGATTGAGTTTCCCCGACCCCGAAAACTCCCTAAGCTTCAACACAAGAACAACAAATCAGATCTAAATTTAAAAAAAAAAAAAATTAATCACAGATCAGATAACGCATACACACAGATCAGAACACACAGATCAAATCACACAGACACACACACACAAACACACACAGATCTAACAGAGAGACAGATCCATCGTCTAGCACAGATCTGAGCGACGCCAGTGACTAGGCGCGAGATTGAGAGTGGCTGGCTGTGGCGGTAGGTTCGGTGGTGGTGACAGAGAGACAGACCTAGTGCGGTGGTGGTGGTGATGTCGCCATCGGTGAGAGAGAGGGAGGTCGGGGCCAACGGTGGTGGTGATGTCGTCGTCGGTGAGAGAGAATGGGGATCGGGGCCAGAGAAAAGAACGAGAGAGTGAGAGAGAGTTGAGATAAGAGTGAGAGTGGAGGGATTGGTCGGTGTAGGGTTAGGGTTTACAAATAGGAATGGTAACGGGGCAGGGCGTGGCGGGGCCGAGGACTACACTCTCCATCCCCGATTCCCGAAGGCTGAAAAATCCCCGTCACCGCCCCCGATCCCCGGCGGGGGAATCCATCACCCCCTCGTCTCCATCCCCATCCCCTAACGGGGATTGAGTTTCTCCGACCCCGAAAACTCCCTGAGCTTCAACACAAGAACAACAAATCATATTTAAATTTAAAAAAAAAAAAAATTAATCACAGATCAGATAACGCACACACACAGATCAGAACACACAGATCAAATCACATAGACACACACACACACAGACACACACAAATCTAACAGATGTGGCGGTAGGTTCGGTGGTGGCGACAGAGAGACAGACCTAGTGCGGTGGTGGTGGTGATGTCGCCATCGGTGAGAGAGAGGGAGGTCGGGGCCAACGGTGGTGGTGATGTCGTCGTCGGTGAGAGAGAATGGGGATCGGGGCCAGAGAAAAGAACGAGAGAGTGAGAGAGAGTTGAGATAAGAGTGAGAGTGAGAGAGAGAGAGAGATATATCAGAGTTAGAGAGTGAGTGTAAGAGCAACACAATAACTGACTCATATTGGTTTATTATAAAAATATAATATACGGTTTGGTTTATTTATTATATATATATAACGGGTATAAAAGTAATTTTATTTCGGGAAAATTCGAGGATGGGGCCGGGGCTTAAACACTGATCACCGTCCCTGGCCCGAAACAGATCGGGGATTGATTTTCAGATACCGTCTTCTTCCCGTCGGGGGTATTTTTTGGGGAAAAATCGCTCAAATCGGGGTCGGGATCGCAGATCCCCGTCGGATCGGTTTCAAATTGCCATCCCTATTTACAAAGGGAAGAGGGATTGAAGGATGATTTAATTATTTCACAGAATATTAACATAATTTTATATAGTTTTTATATGTAGTGCAATCATTTTTAATCTTCAATTAATTTATTAGTAATTTTTTTGAACTTTTTATTTATTAGTAATTTCAATCAGTTAGGTTAGGATATCAATTTGAAAAAACCCTTTACTTGCATTGTGTTTGGGTTTGAGGCCATGTTTGATTGATGAATTAAAATAAATGAAATTGTGAGTATAGTTGGATTGAGAGATAAGATCACGAGTGTGTTGATATTAAATTGAAAAAATAAAATAAATTATGTTTATTTGCACGCTAATATAGTGATATTAGTGGGTTGAAATTAAATTTATAAAATTACATAAAAAAATTCATTATATAAAATATTGCTTTGTTATTTTTATAAAATAGGGACAAAATTATATCTTCATGGAATTGGATTGTAAACTCCAGTACTAAGATGAGACTTTTATACTCTATATTTGATTCGCATAAATAAAAATAAAGTAGAATAAAATGTTTAATAAACAGCTTTTGTACGGAATAACGATTAAAATGATATTTTTCGTCTTGTGTTTTTCATTATTATATTTTTTAATAAATTAAATATAAAAATAATATTTTAATAAAATAACATCAAAAAATAATTTTGTGGATCTCTTCCATTATGAAAAGTGGGAGAGGGACCCTAGACCAATTTTCCCTTATTTTATTTCACCGTCATTTCAACAAACCAAACACTACCTTCACTCTCAATATATTTTCCCAATCATCATTTATGGAGCTAAACATACTGATTTGAGTTGTCGCAAATAGGTTGTTCAGAGAAATTTGTTAAAATTTGATTTTTTTGATTTTTATTTAAAAATATATATAAAAAAAATATAATCCAAAATAAATTAAAAATCAAATTTAATTTTCAACCATCTTCTCAAAAAAAAAGTCTAAGCAACCTCGGATCTTCCTACGTCCTAGAATTACACATTAAACATTAAGGTAAATTACAAACATATTCTTGAGTTTTACTTAAATTATAAATTATTCCATTTGATTCTAAAAATTATATTATGTCTTTAAAATTTCTAATTTCATAACAAATAGATTATTTTATTAATAAATTATCAAGTTAATTAACAGTTTTTAATAATTTATTTCAATTAATAATTCAATTTTTTGATTATTATATAGATGAACAATTATAAATTTCACTTTTCAATTAATTCTATTAAATAAAAAATTCTGACAGGGAAGTATTTGTATTTTTCTAAATAACAGAAAATAATTCGTATTTTAAACAAATTTGAAGATATATTTATAATTTACCCAATATCAAGCGACCAGATCTCAACACGTGGAAACACAAAAATCTATCCACGTCAGCAAGCCAGCTTAGCCCTAGCCTTTGCTGTCAGCCACACCTTGGTAGTAACGAGTTCGGATCTTCTGCCATACTTTCCTGCAGTGGTTCCTGCCGTGGCCAAAAACGACGTCGTTTTTGACCAACTCTCTCTCTCTCACTCACAGCTATGGAGTCTACTTTCTCTCCCTAAACCAGAGGTGAACTTGTTGAATTCTCTCTCTCTCTCTATGTATATATATATATAGTTATTGAAAGAGGCAAAGTGAAGGGGAATTAGAGATGCCAGAAATGGAAGGTCCGTCAAAGCCACCACAAATCTCCGAAATGTTTCAGAAATTCGCACTCGCTTTCAAGACCAAAACATTCGAATTCTTTGCCGAGGAAGACGCCGAAGAATTCATTGCCGATCAGAAGGTCATTGTGATCAAACCAGACCAAACCCACAAATCCTCTGCTTCAAAACCATCTTCCCCAATTCGAACCATCGATACCCAGTTCGCAGAGACTCTGATTTCTTCCATTTTCGCTACGATTTCATCGTTTGAAGCTTACTATCTTCAGTTACAGACAGCCCATTCGCCTTTTGATGAAGACACCATTAAAGCTGCCGATAAAGCTCTGGTCTCTCATCTTCAGAGATTGTCTGATTTCAGGAATTGGTTTAGGAATTTTCGCAAAAACCCTAATTGCATTCTTGATTTCCCAATTGGGTCTTGCTCGGAAGCTCAGGTACAAGAGAATCAGAGCAAGCTTCGGGCTCTGGACACCGTCTTCAATCGATTGCAGTCCGAAATCGACGATAAAGACACCAAAGTGTTGGCTCTAAGGCAAGAGTTGGATAAAATTCACAAGTCTAATTCGAAATTGTCGAAGAAATTACTGAATTATAGTTCGAAATTGTCTGCAACAGAGGCAAGGCCATCATCTTGTTCAATGTTGGTGTGTTCTAAATATTGTCAACCCCTGAATTCCTTAACTGATGTGGGTTTTGTGTTCTAACTGATGTGGGTTTTGTTGTGAGAGAGAGAGAGAGAGAGAGAGATGATGATGATGACAGTGGTGTGTTCTGTTCTGCGGTTTTCTTTTTTTTTTTTTTTTTTTTTTTTTTGTCCCAAAAAAACGTTTTGGGACACTGTAGGAAACCCACAGGAAAGTATGGCAGAGGATCTGGACACGTGTAGTAACTACCTTAATCTGTAACCAGGTTTCCTAAGTACAATTACTATTATTGTTATTTTCACACCTAATAATTATTCCGTACACGTAACTAAAAATTTTAGTATTTTAAATATTTTTTGATTTTTTTTTTTATTTTGTAAAAAATTCAAAGGAAATGAGTTTCGTAAGCAGTGGCGGAACCACATGCTGGTCACGTGTGCTCTGAATTTTCTTTTTAGATATATATATATATATATATATAAAAAAAATCTCAATATAAATATAATATCTATCATTATTGATATGAAAATATAATTAATCTCACTATATATATATAAATTACTAGACTATTAGTTATATTTGCATGTAGAGTTTACCCTTCATATGTTACTTTATTATTAGTTGGTGATATCATATGTCAATAATGACGTGATATCATTATTATATGAAATTTTACTCAAATTTTGTTAAAAAATTGATTTATCTTACCATTATATAATTTATTTTACAACTTAAATATATAACTTTTTTACATTGTCCAATGTCCATGATACACTAGTTACACACAATACTTTCTTTTCGATTTTACTCGAAATTAATTGTAAAATTTTATGTAAAATAATTTTGTAATAATTTATTTAAATCTTTGTACTTAATATTAATTCAAAAATTATTATTATATTCTTATTGTTGGTTATGGAAAAAAAAATTAAAATTATGATTAATAAGCATCTTTTTTTAATTTAATTTTTTGACTCCATTATTATTTGTAAGTAATTATTTTTTAAACTCATACTAATATAATAAAGAGTTTTCAACCTTAAAAGTAGGGGTCACCTTAGGTGTTATTTGATGATATTAAAAATAGACTTAATTTATTTTTATGGAATATATTCCAGTTGTAACTGTTAAGTTATTAAATATCAACTTTTAATGGGAATCAATCCATCTCAAATTCCAAAAAAAAAAAAAAAAATAAATTGAAAATTAAAATTAAAAGTGAAAATTTAAGAGATGTGTATAATTTAAAAAATTTTATTACACAATTTATATATAAATTTTCACATTAATAAAGTAGATCTCATTTTTGCATTTCACAAATATTATTTCAACATTGTCATAACATATATTGATATATTAATTGGTGTGTAATACCACTATATCCTAATGAAGTGGTAAGACAAAATGTATATAAAGAGAATTTTGAAAGAATGTTTAAATGTAGATTAATTTTTTAAATTTTGCTTGCCATTATTAAGGAAAAAAATAATGTAGATGAATCATTTTTATATTATTTATAGAGTTTTGTAACATTTTCTATCTTATCATTCTTAATTATACTTCTAATAAAGTGATAAATAATTATGAAAAGAAAGAGAAAAATTTGAAAAAAAACTAATTAGTTGATATTATTTATCATTTCATGCAATTGAGAATGATAAAATGATAAAATGAAACATTTCTCTTATTTATACTACTTATGTAAAAATTTAATTTAATTTAATCTAATTTGATTTGTTTTTTTTTTTTTTTGGCAGTTACATTATTTTGCATACATTATTTTGCATTCTGTAAATATCTAAGTATTAAACGCAATGAAGAAACGACACGTAACGCAAAACATAAGGGGACAGCGGTGACAAATAAGCAAAGGGGGCAAAAAATGGCGCTGGAACCTTCACAAATTGGTTTAGTGAGAGAGAGAGAGAAAGAAGGAGAGAGAAAACGTGAAAGAAAGTTGAGATTTACGCAATCACCCAGATCTTCCCCATTTCACCACCTCCATTGCGTATCAGCTTTCACCGGCAACAATTTTCCCGAGAAAATTTCAATTTTCTCGGCGAAATTCGATCTCGTTTGGTGTTTGTTCAATTACCTTCCTTCCTTTTTTTTTTTTTTTTTTTTTTTTTTTTTTTTTTTTGTGTTGGCAGCGCGCAGTTAATTCAATGGAATAGCTCTGCCGATCCAGCTCTCTTGTTAGGGTTTCCAGGATGGTTCGTTTTCGATTCCGTATTGTCTTATCTTATGTATATACATGTTTACGTTTCAAGAGAGTAGTGCTTTTTTTTCCTTTTTTTTTTCTTTTTTTTTGGAGATGAATTCAATTGTGAGATCTGAGGGATTGTTAACTGGCATTGCTGAAATTGAATGTTTTTCCTTTAAATTGGAGCGTCACTGTTATATACACATTCAGATTTTCTTAGTTGTTTCGTTCTTCCTAATAGTTGCCTACCTCTTTGTGGTAGATTTTACCTGATTTTGGGTTACCTTCAACTGGTTTTTAGGTTTGAATGGCTGCAAATCTTTAACTTGTGTTGAATTCTTATCATGACTGATCTATTTGATATAAAATTGAAAACAATTAGCTTGAAAGATTGTCAAAAGAATCCGAGATTTTTTAGTTGCTTTTTTCCCCAATAAAACAGATAAACGTGTCTTCTTCTTCTTCTTCTTCTTTTTTTTTTTTTTTTTTTTGAGATTTTGCAGATAATTGTTTTTGGATGTTAGAGGTGAGTTATGAGGGAAAGTAGAACTGAAAATTAAAGAGAAAAAATATTTCTTGGGTTAGTTTGAGCTTTCTCTGAAATTTGTTGGAAACTATTTGGGGAAAGTTGCAGTGAAAAGAAAGGGATCTTACTGTTCTATTTCTTTGTTGGGAAAACTTTATTTTTATGCTTTTTTACTGTCACATCACATCACAGTGAAGAACCCAGTTCCATCATCACTAATTGATAGTCCAAAAGAATGTATTCTTCTCTTCGCATTATTGTTTTCTAGTTCATGGCTTTGAACCCTATTCATCATTTTATGATTAACATCTGGATATGAACTTACTTCTTTCTTCTGCTTTTGATTGTACAGAGCAGTAATTGATGAGTTTGCTGGGAGAATCTTTTCTTCTTCCGAAACCAGGGACCAAAACTCTTCTTGTTGCACCTGACTAAAATGTCAGGTATGTGCTATGTAAAGCAATTTCCAAGTACAAAAAGACATTACCCTAGGGTTAGGTTGGCATAATTCAAGCACTCAATTATAATCTCACGTTAGACACGTGAGGATGTATTAGTGGCTCTTATTTTACTTTGCCATATTGTAGGTTTAGAGGGATGGGGGAATCATGATGAAATAAGAGAAAGAAGATCAGATTTTGAGAACTCTGAAGATGAGCGTCGACGATCGAAAATTGGGACTCTAAAAAAGAAGGCGATCAATGCTTCAAATAAGTTCACTCATTCTCTCAAGAAACGAGGAAAAAGAAAAATTGACTACAGGTTTCCTTCAATTTCCATAGAGGACATACGCGATGCAAAAGAGGAGAGTGCAGTCCAGAAATTACGCCAAATACTCCTTGACAGGGATTTGTTGCCCCCTGCACATGATGACTATTATACATTGTTGAGGTCAGTTGATTTTGTTGGAATAAGCAGTTGTAACATATTGTTTTTATGGAAAAAAAAAATCATAACATCTGATTGGTTGTGTTGGCCCTATTGGCCCTATTTAATCAAACACTTGAATCTCTGTGTATATTGTCTCATTAAGATCATTTCAATGAGTCCGTTTTTGGTTTTTCCTATTTTTGCCCTATTGTGGAGTTATTTAGGATTGGGTAGTTTATGAATCTATGGATTTTGGTCACATCTACATATTTAAGTACCACTTTGTTTGTTGAGATGCTCTGCAAAACAGTGGACTAATTTAACTTTTATAGATAAGTAAATTTACTAATGTGAAAAATATTATCAGTGAAGAATTATACTTCCATACATTATAGAAAGCCAGAGGGCCTTGTGGTTTCCAGCGTGAGTTACTAAATAACCCATGCAACATCACCCTACATATCTGATTGCTATTCTTCATTTGTGGATCGCTTCCCTACTCCATCTAACCCACATGTGTGCTTGCATTGTGCGTGGGACACTTATAGTATGGTGTTTAAATGTGAGGTCAAAGTATACAATGTGGTGAATTGGTGAGGTATTTAGGGTTCCCATGTCTAATTATTTTGTTTTAACTAATCACTGAGCTAAATTCAACTTATTCATGTCTTCTATGTAGATTCTTGAAAGCTAGGGATTTTAACATTGAAAAAACAATCCAGATGTGGGAAGAAATGCTTAGATGGAGGAAGGAGTATGAAACAGATACCATACTGGAGGTAATGGCATTTATTCCCCCCTAACTCCATAATTACAAAAGCAAATTTTTTCACTTGTAAGCTTAGATGTCCTTGGGCAGCAGTTACAGTTTGCAGTGCCATTCTTGCTTTCTGCCAATGCAATTGGTCTATTAATACTGTAAAATAGAGTATAATTGTGCCCAAAAAAAATTTAAAATAATTTTCTCATGATAAATTCAACAACAGACCTGTACTAATGACACCATGATATGCTATATTTCTTCCAATAATTAAGCAATATATACTTTCATTGTAATGTTATGTTGTCTACCCTAAATTGTGCAAATGAATGTATGAATGCTCAGGACTTTGAATTTGAAGAGTTGGAAGAAGTCTTGCAATATTATCCTCAAGGTTACCATGGAGTTGATAGGGAAGGAAGACCTGTTTACATTGAGAGGCTTGGGAAAGCTCACCCAAGTAAGCTTGTGAACATCACCACAATTGATCGTTACTTAAAATATCATGTCCAAGAATTTGAGAGGACTCTGCATGAGAAATATCCTGCATGTTCGATTGCTGCAAAGAGGCGGATCTTTTCGTCAACAACAATTTTGGATGTGCAAGGATTGGTATGTAGATTCTTTACTGGGCACTGGGCAGCCTTAGCCAAAAGCCCAAAACAATCAAGACTTCTGTGTGATACAATGTAAATTTGTCTGCTTTAAAATGAATTAGAAAATTAATATGAATGTCTCAGCTCACTAATGCTCTAAGATTAATTAGAAAAAGGGTTCTGATAATCCTGTCCTGGTCTCAAAAATTTCTTCCCAGCCTTTTAATTCATTACAAATGTTTCCTGCAGGTCATGGAATTTATTATAATCTTGATATGATCCCACCCTAGAGGGTGCTTTATCACCTAGTGAAATGTCTCTAGCATAATAAAATTATATATATTCAAGTCATAGTTAAAACAAATATACATGTTTTCCACATATTTTAAGTTAAGGAAGTTGGTAAAAAGCTGGCTTTTGGCTTTTTACCAAGTTTTTTGGCTTTTTTGGAAGTGATTTGGGAAGTTGGTAAAAAGTTGGCTTTACAAATGTTTCCTGCAGGTCATGGAATTTATTATAATCTTGATATGATCCCACCCTAGAGGGTGCTTTATCACCTAGTGAAATGTCTCTAGCATAATAAAATTATATATATTCAAGTCATAGTTAAAACAAATATACATGTTTTCCACATATTTTAAGTTAAACTAATACCCAATCCAATAATTTGAATATCTAAGAACAAAAGTTCTCTTGTGTTTTGTTAATATCTAATTGAATATTCTAGATACCTCTGTAAACTACTTGACATATAAAACATTTTGATTTTCTTAGAAATTAATATCTAAGATAGGAATTATGAATATGGTATATGCTTTATATAATTTTTGACCTTTGATATTAGAAGTTTGAGTGACTGAAGTAAAGTGCTTGTAATTATGTCTTTTTTAATTGGATATGCGAAAAGTTTAATTCCCTTAACAGTGACAATGATTGTTTGTTATCATTTGTAGCTTTATTTGGCCACGTCTCTCAACAGTGACAATGATTTCTGGCTTTTAGTTGTCCTCATTTGTAACCAAAACCAATATGAGTGTTGTGGATGCACAATTGATGGAATGGGGCATAAAACTATGATGCATATTGTTTACTGATGAATTATTAAAAGCTATTCTTTTGGTAGCTGATTATTGCAGTTGCAACTTTGTAGAATTTTACATAGGAAAAAACTTTCATTGTAATGCACAGGGAATCAAGAATTTCACAAAAACAGCTGCAAGTCTCCTGGCGGGTGTGTCAAAAATTGACAACAGTTACTACCCTGAGGTATCTTATCATTCAGTGATATTTCTTTTCTAATGTTGTGTTCGCCTTCTATTCCCTCTGCATTTATTTTGCTAGTGGAGCTTGTTTTTGTAGAGCCCTATACCTTTGTGTACAAGGGATACTATGGGCCCCTTGTGTGGCACCATTGCAATAAAATTATACATATCATTTTTCCCCCCCTGCATTTATCTATAGACACTACATCAAATGTTCATTGTCAATGCTGGTCCTGGCTTCAAGAAGATGCTTTGGCCTGCTGCACAGAAATTCCTTGATGTGAAGACAATTGCAAAAATACAGGTAAAGGTCATTTGCATAGTCTTCTGGATATTTTTTTCTACATCTGCAGCAATGTTCACTGACTGCACATTCATGTTCTGAATTTGAAGGTGCTGGAACCTAAATCCTTGTCAAAATTACTCGAATTCATTGACTCAAGGTTTGTTTTCTACTTATTCTGACATTTAATTTCAATGATATGGCCATCTGACTACTTGATTTTTTATTTTTACAAAAACTATTCCTTCAGTCAATTGCCTGACTTCTTTGGTGGCTCATGCACATGTTCTACTGAGGGAGGTTGCCTTCGGTCTAACATGGGTCCATGGAATGATCCCGAGATAATGAAGGTATGTATTCTTTGGGCTGAACTGTCTTTTTTTTCTTTTTCTTTTTCTTTCTCTTGCATGTACTGATTATGTACTTCCAAAGGTTGACGGTTTATCAGATTTGCATGTAAGATTAGATTATATTTTGAATATTAATGAAGGTGATTCTGAGCAGAAATCCTTCGTTCCATTGTAGCTTGTATATAATACAGAAGCAACATTTGGGAGGCAAATCACAAGAATGTCTACTGACCAAGAGAAAATGAACTTTTATATTCAGGGAAATCCACATAAGGCAAGTTTCAGGCTTTTGATATTCTGCTCATTGTCTTTACATATCTCATTCCTTTCTCATATATCTATCATGTTAACAGGGGAAAAGTAGTTATATGTCAATGTCAACAGCAGAGTCGGCCTCTGATATTGATGATTCATGTTCCCCAACTAGACAAGGTAGCTCTAGATGTCCACTTTTGGCACCGGTTCACGAGGAAGTGAGTTCTGGAACCTGTGGTTCACATGTTTGGTATCAACCATGCATACCCATGATCTGGTTAATTCTAAGCAATTATGACTGCTGTGATACATTTGTCATCCTGTGTATGTCATTTGCAAATGCCTATGCACGTTCTTGTGACATGAAAATTGTTATTTCTGCAGGCCACGGCATCAGACTCAAGTGTCTACTATAGTTGCGATGATGATTTTAGTCAGGTTGATAAAGCTGTTGAGGCTGACCAAGGACTGGGACATTGTCACATTGATAGTGAGAATTCATATAGTGAGGCAACACCCAATCTAGAAGGTGAAAAAATACTCTTCATTTTGGTGAAAAAATAATAAATATTTCCAAAACACTCGTCATTGCCATGTTTTTTTTTGGTGCAAAAATAGTTTTTGAAAATTCAAAAACATCTTTTTGGGTGTTTATTTTCACAAAACTAGTTTTTACTATTTTTCAGAAATTAGATTCCGAAAAGGAAACCAAACATCCTAGTACTAAATAGCAAATTTTAATGCTTTTAGGACGAATATTTTGTGTGGATTCTAACATTTTTTTTGTTTTATCATCCCCAATGTTGGGATTTCTACCTGATAACCATTCCAGGTACTCCAGTGATCCAGTGGCTTGACATAATCCAGGAAAAAATTGTAAAAAGGAGTTTCCAGTGTGTGGGAAGAGTACTGACGTCTTTGATGGCCAAACTGCCGAGCTCACCCATTGAATCTTGGAGAAGACAGAACAACATTTATCCATCTAATGTGACAGAAGACACAATGGAGAGTCGTCCAACTGGTGCTGAAGCTGTCAGCGTAGAAGATCCCGTCCTTCCGTGTGTACAGCGTCTTCAGAGACTAGAAAAATTATTGGAAGAGCTTAACAACAAACCTGCTGAAATTCCTTGGGAAAAGGAGCAAATGCTTGACCGATCATTGGATAGGATCAAGTCTGTGGAGGTTGACCTCGAGAAAACAAAGAGAGTAAGCCTTATCCTCTCTGGTTGAGATGTTGGTAACATCAAAGCTTAGTTATACTTAATTATGGCAATTTTTTCACAGGTATTACATACCACAGTGGTGAAGCAAGTTGAGATTGCTCAGTTGTTGGAAAATTTGCAGCAGTCGAAATTCCATGTAAGTTACATAGCAAATTTTTATATAGTCCATGATAATATTTGTATGCATCGATTGATTGCCAGCTCTGTAATTTGTTACAGTAGTTTTTGTTTGAATTAGACATTCTACGGAGGGTGGGAGTATCATTTTTTGATATATATCTTTTATGTATATAATGTCTTGAAGGATTGCTGCTAAATAGCCTTGCCTTTTTTCTTTGGACCCCACACTTCTTTGGACACCCACCTACATAAATTACTCCCCACCTTTTCTTCTTTGAACACCCACCTTAATCTCAACTATACCCCAGCTTTCTTTGGACCCCCACTTCCGCCACCCCTCCCCTTGCCATCTCCCCACCTCCGGCAGCCCCTTTCCCAGCCTTCCCAAATAATAAGAGATGCAAGGGAAAACAAGTATGTTCTCAATTTGTTATGTAAATGAAAGGAATTTGTGCGTTAACCATCCTGCGGGTTCTCTGAATCTTCATGCATCACTTCATCCATTTGTTAATTGTTGCTTCGACACCCTTGTCTTTCCAGAAAAACTGTGATTAACGTTGAGGTTTCTTCTTGCAGCGACGGAGGTTATTCTGTTCTTGAAGATCAGAATTGGAACAAGCTACATGTTGGACTGGTAGTATAAGAAATATAATGCACATGCAGAGTACATACAAGGAAGAACTGCAGGGAAAACAACTTTTATTGTTTCTTTTTTTCTTTCCTTTTTTGCCCTTTTGCCACGGGGTACTTGGAAGAACCTACTTCACAGGATCTTTTCCCTACTCAGATTTCAGACAGTGCAGCATATTCCTTTGTCTCATTTCTCTGTTGAAATAACTGCACAGCATTTTTCTCACTTAAAGAGAACACAAGATGTAGATCAGACTTTGATATATTGCAGTCAATAATAAGGATTATTGAAATTCTTTAAATGAACCTGGGGTTACACTGCTTATACGATGGAGCATAGGACTATTTGTCGTTCTTTCTTTGCAATGATCGTGTTGTGGTCACTGAAAGATATAATCCAATGATCAATGCGGGTGCAGTTCCTTTGCAACCAATTGGTTTTCCAAATCTTTACCTCGCGTACCTCCATCTTTATTTGAAGGTAAAATAAACTGTGACTTTATGTACAATGATACCCTAAACATACAAACAAAAAAAATTATATACAATGATTCGGATGATTTGTTTTCTATCTTTCCAAACCAGAATCTGCATGATTAAGTATTCTGTATAACATTTGTTGAAGAATAACAATTTTTCTTTAAATATCATAAAGGAGTGGTAAAGTGGTGGTGGTCAGGACTAGAGCCAACAATCTTTGATCAATGGCCAAGAGAAAGGCATGGGCAAATTTTGCACAAGCGAAACTTTAAGAGGATTACATAATTATTAAAATATAAATCAATATTGGACAATTAGCCTAACAAAAATTTGTAAAAGGCTAGTCTAAATGTGCATATGCTATCTAATTTTTATAAGCCTATGGTCCGATTTTTAGCTTTTGTTTTTTTAATTATCAATTTTAAATTTATAAAAAATTATACCAAACATACTCTCTGTAATTATTTGAATATTATTGTGAGTGATCTAATTAAACAAATTATAAATAATTGCATAAGAAATCAATTTCAGTAGTTACATATTTAAATGGGTATCCATATCTAGAGAGAGTGTGACAACAAATTACACTGAATCATTCAAAAGGGATGGGCAAGGAAAATCATAACGAGCATCCAACGCACCATCCCTTTGCAATTCACCAGCAAGCCCTCAGGAATCCCAACCAAACAGAAAAGTATGTCTAACTCTGGTTTAACATAATTTTAATTAGGTTCGTTAAGGAACAACTCATTGAAATTCATTTATATATTGGTCTCATTTGACAATATCACTTTTTAGTTTAAAAGTTAAAATCACTAAAAAAATCAAAAAGTCAATAACTTATATCAAAAGGTGAAAGATTTCATTTCCTCTCTACTTTTTACACATCTTTTCGTAAAAATCAAAAAGTCATCTCAAACATAGTGCCGTTTTGGGAACCAAAATAAAAAGGCACGTTTTTTTATCCAGAAACGCAAGTGGCAAAAATGCAACAAAATTGGTTTGTCATTAAATCTCAACCACACAATGCACCAATTTAGGAAACTTTAGAAAAAAAAAACTCTAGAGGATCCTTGCTCACAAATTGGGGCCTATGATGAAAAAATAAAAAAAAATAAATTTCTTATGTTGGGTAAGGATATTTTGGTCATTTTAATTTGATTTGACACCATAAACAAATATTAAACTAAAAAGCCAAAAGTCAGCTTTTTACCAACTTCCCAAAAAGCTGAAAAGCTTGGTAAAAAGCCAAAAGTCAACTTTTTACCAACTTCCCAAAACACCCCATAATAATTTTTTTTACATCCTATTTTAACTAAGAAGTCAAAAAATTAATAAAAAAATATATTCCCAAACAAGGCCTTAGACTTATTTAAACCGCTTTCAGATGAATGTAATTAGGCAGGTCCACAGCTGCTATTGCACAGGCACCTAAGAGCATTCGCATCAAAATAGTTAAATTTTTAGACAAATTTTACCTTAAAAGCTAATTTTCTATTTTAGCTAATCACATTTTCAAGTACATTCTTCAACAAACTCTTTAATTTTTTTTATTATATTTAAATTTTATTTATCTATTCTTTTAAAAATCATATTTTTTTCAATTGTCATATATTTTAAGCAGACAATAATCAAATTTTTCAAACAAAAAATGCAAAACTATTATAATGTTTATATAGAGTTTGTCTAAAGAATAATGTAGTAGTAACATATAAATAAATAAATAAAATTTATTTTACTGAGTCTGTTGGTTTAAAATAAAAAAATTATATTGAACCACATTATTTTGTATAAATTTTATATTTGTATATCATTACTATTCTTTTCAAACCAACACTTTTTAAATCTGTCATTGTTTTTTGAAGTTGTACTCAAAATATACTACTGCTGCTCCAATTTCGTTGAAACTTTGAAAGAATTTTTATTAATATTTCATCATTTCATACCAAGAGCCGAATCCACAACTGCTGGCTACATGTAGCGATGGAGTTAGGCTCAATTAAAGTGACGATTGTGCTGCCATACTTGATGGAATGCAATTTATGTGAATTTTCTTGTTAAAAAGGAGCTAGGTTCAATTAAAGTGACGAATGCAATTTATGTGAATTTTCTTGTTAAAGTAGCTAAGCAGCAGGTTTAGCACTTTTGATGTTGATTCTCTAATGAAAAATGTCCTCTCACACGGGTGTGGAACTAACACAAACTTATACGTGTGTTAGTCTCACACCCATGTGACAGGTTTAATAAAATATTTGATATGAAGCCTCTAGCATTAATCTTCTGTAGTAACTTGTTAATGAAAAGCAACAACCCAAATTAAAAATATTTTGCCATTTTGAGGACATTGCCTACTTTACAACTGTCCTACCTTACAACTGTCTTCCTCGGAATAGAAACCACGTCACAATAAATGCTTCTTCTAGTAGTAGTAGACTATAGTGGTTTTATTGTTTCTGTAACAATGGTTTTAATTCATTTTGCTATCTACTCCCATCTTCTTCCAACTCTCTCTCTCTCTCTCTCTCTTTCTCTCTCTCTAATCAACCTGATAAAAAACTGAGATCCAAAAATTCCTCTCTTTCTTTCTTTTTTTTCTTTTCTTTCTTTCCATAACAAAAAAAATGGAGCACAATAATCACCATTGTTCATCTTCTCATCCTCGGAGTCTCTTTCTATTTGTCTTCCTCCTCACTTGCCTCTCTGCTTTTGCTTCCACTTTCATTTCAGGTGTGTAAGGTTGTACTTGGTTTAAGAATTTAGGAAAAGATTTAAAAAGGAAAAGAAAAAAAAATGTGAAATTAAATGAAATATAAATATATTTTATTCATATTTCACCGTCCTTTTCTCTTTTCTTTTCAAAATCTCTTCCTAAATTCTTAACCAAACACAGCCTAAGAGTTCGGACATTTATCTCTCGATATATATAGAGAGCGATATGCCTACCTATAATTTACTTCTATATGTTGGTGTGTATAATAATGCAGATGATATATTTGGAGATCCAGCTTCAATCAGTCGGAACCTCCTTCAGACCAAGAAATGTGCTTTTTTCCCTCTTTTAATGAATGCATCTGGGGATCGGTTTTCAAAGAACACAATTCATGAAGTTTTTGCATTCTATTTGGGGTTTTAATACACTCATATTTCAATGTATACAGTAAAATGTTAGATGTAAATCATAATATATATATATATATATATATATTACAGTCTATCCAACAATAGATTTATACTTTAATCTTCTTTCAATATAGTGAAATTGGTATGAATCATGTATGTAGACATTGGCCGTATTTGGCAAAATTTTAGTTTGGATTTTTTTTTGATTTTTTCCACTAAAAGACACAATTTTTTCAAAACCAAAAAAAACAAATCCAAACAAAATATCACATCCAACCACAACAAAACCTAACTATCTTTCCAAACACCAATAAAATTTTCTCCAATAATATCCTACAACTAAAAAAATTTACATAAAAACCCATTTCCCAAACACTCACAATGTTATCAAACCATCTATATATTCATGTGTTGAAGTAATTGTCTATTGAAGGACAACATTGCAAAGAAAAGGAAAAAAAAAATAATAAATAAATCTGATTTTGAAAGTTGGCATACCTGAAAGATTGGTTTAATGATATCTTTGCCTTATTTTGTGTGATTTGCAGCTTGCCCCCGTAGACTTCGAGTTCAAAAACTACACAATCATCACTAGCCAGTGCAAAGGACCAAAGTACCCACCCAATATCTGGTGTGCAGCTTTCAAAGAATTCGCTTGCCCATATGTGGATGAATTAAATGATTTAACCAATGATTGTGCCTCTACCATCTTCAGCTACATCAACCTTCACGGTAAATACCCAGCCAGCCTTTTTTCTATAGAGTGCCATGAAGGGAAGAGAGGGCTTGAATGCCCTCCAACTTCATCAACAGAATCAGCCAATGTTTCCAGTGGGAGTCGGATCATCTGTAATCCATCTCCTCTATTGGCACTTACAACAACAGGCTTCCTAGTACTGTTATTGTGGTTTTTCTGAAGGCTTATGTAAGGTTCTAGCATTTCAACTTACGATTGTTAAAACTATTAATATCACATGAAATGTGATTTTATTTCATTGATAGGACACTAAAGAGTATGAATTACAATGAGAAAGACGGAGAGAGAGCTCTGCTATTAAAACCATTACAATATCAAATCAAGTTGAACTTATTAATTCATGTGAAGTTTTGTAGAAAGTAACTTCACCTAAAAATCTATGCTATACAATGCATGTTTTATTTGTGCCACTTATGATATATCAAACTACAGGGCCCAACAAAAATTCTGGTTCAAGGATGTTTACAGTTTATACTTGTGAATAAATAGATTCAGGTGATTTCAGATAATAACAGAGTGATTTCACCTCGCATTTTACAACTTGATAGCTTGTTTTCTTGGCAAACTGAAAGTAATTTGTCGAAGATTGCCAGGACAGAGATGGGTTTGGACACTTTCACCACAAGAGGCTGTGCCTGGACTTATACCGGAACTGCTTCTTTACCATGCACCAGGGGCCAGGGAAGGTGCTCAGCTGCGTCAGCACAAATAGAAATAGATTCACCTCACAGAATGGTGATAAAAAATAAAATAAAAAATTAATAAGTTGCAACTTAATGCACAAGAATCCTGTTAAAATGGGGTCTGGGGAGTGCAAGCATGATGATAACCAAACCAAGCCTTAAGTCCCATCAAATGGGGTCGGTTACATGAATCCTCCTTCTCCACGCGGCTCTATCAAAGGCCATTTGGCTAAGCATGATGATAATGCATACAATTCATATTTATTGCATTTGGCTAAGCCCTAAGCTTCAACTGCACAAGTCACTTAACAAGAACTAGAGTCTATTTCAACTGAATATTTGATCCGGTAATTGCATGAAGAAGTGTTTAAAACCTGTGCTGCTCAATCTTTCTTTTGACTAAATATTGTTATTAACCCCACAGAATTGCAGCAATAACTTCACTAGAGCTCATATTGGAAGAAGTTAGCATAGAATGTCTCTTGCAGCTTGACAAACGCTCTAATTTATCAAAATAAAAGATAAGTATGCACTAATATATGGCAATGTGTGTTGTTTCGGTATGTCCATAGATGTTCAGTGATTTAGTGCAGTAGCTTACATTGCTGATAAGCTTTGCCCCAAACCATGCAGAATCGGCACCATAAACAGGAGGAATCACTATTATTCCATTGGACATGGATTGGGGAATAAGTCCACGGAGTTCCTTCTCTAACCTTTCTGGGAAACAAAGATCAAAGATAAAGTCAAAAGATTTTCAACTCAATTTATATGTATCTCATTTTAATTTATTTATTTAACGCATTGTTTCTGTACTATTATTTCTTCACCTGTCTTTTTAATGCAGTTTGATTAAAAGAACTTATATTCTCGCTCTCATCTCCTACCCTTGTCACTGAAATTCACATAGATAACTGAAAGTTACCTGCTAATCCTGGTAAACATGCTGTCCCTCCTGACAAAACTACAGTCTTGAACCAACTGTCATCGCCTGTCAATTCCGCAGCTTGACAATGGTCCATGCAAAGTGCTACTGCCTGTTGCAAACTCATTGCACGCCTGTACCAGACACAGACAGTACATGATGAATTAATCAGAAAATAAGTATAAAAGCACAGGAAACTGGAGGACACAGTAAAGTATGAGCAAACAATATCTACCATTGATCAAATCACCACATATTATAACAAGATGTAAGAAAACTTAGACTTACACTCCTGCAATGCATGGCTGAAATAAAATCTCCCCTGTTTGAAATCGTTCTTTCGAAAGAGTAAACCAACCTTCTGCTGCAACTTCAAATGACCCTTCTGTATCTTTGGATAGTTCAGCATCATAATCAAGAGCAACATAACATAGGTTCTGTGAGTGCATTAAACCCAGACAAAATCAGGCAATATGTATAGTGTGTGATAAAGCAGGAAAGTATGGTACAATTACCAAAGTGAAGTCAAACATATGCAGCAAATGAGTAATAAACATTATACTAGGCTTCAGTTGTTATTTTGTGGAGAACCCTATGGCAACTGTTCAAGTCTGGAAAATCCACTTGAAAATCTTATTAGCAGGATTCATATACTTCAGTGAGGGGATTCAGCAAAACCCTCCCAGCATTTGAGACTGTGCTGCCAAAATATGTCCTGATCAAATCAAATTAAGAGCTAGAAAATAGTTGGTGTTTTAGAAGGGGTTTAGTGGTCCTATGAGCTATCAACCTGGCTATTGGGGGACAAGCTGAACTAATTATACCACCAACAGAAGTTTATAAAAGCTAAAATCAGTAATTGAATTTACCCAAAAGCACTAAGAAGTGAACTTTTCATGGATCAGCATCAGCTGTAAATGAAATTTTCATGGATCAGCATCAGAAGTGAAATTTTCCAGGGCTTTGAATTATCAATCGGATTTCATCAATTAGACAATAAAAAAGGTTGTCCCTAGAAAGAGAGCTAACCACATGGGTGTCTTGCCATAGACTTGAGGCTCCTAGAACTCATCGAGTTGTAGGCATCCCTTTTCTCAACTTTCAGTCGGGCAAAGGCAATCCATTTCGATCCTAAAACCATACCATACCCCTGCCTGTTTGAAGAGCTGCAGGAGAAAGAAGCTGGAGGAGGGAAGTTTACGGATGTCTATACATACGAAATCCCAAGTACAGGACAAAGCCCTGTGTTTCCAACATTACTTACTGCTATTTCTTCTTGGATTCTAGGGGGGAATTCAAGACTTCTAGAGCCATCCAGCTGACTAGAACAATCAATTGGTGAATGTCACATTTACTCCGCATGCTGACAAGCCAGCAAGACTTCTGGCCAAACTTTTCCTCATTGATGAGAGGAAAGACAAATATCAAAGTCCACAGAGCAAAGGGCAATGTCAATACCTCTTTTAATGTGCGCACAGTGTACAGTGACTCAAAATGTATATTTTTCTGCTGCATTTGTTCCTTAAGGAATCCTGTAAGCTTCAATGCTCCCATTCCCACAACTTCAACACCCACCTTGCGCATGACTTGACCATGTAAAACTGTAGAATAGAATCCAAAACTTAGAAATCTGAGTCACAGGTGACCATGCACAATTAGGAAAAGAGAAATTCAACAGAAATCATTTAATAGAGAACAAGAAGACAGCAGTGAACACCTAGCCATTTTTTATGCATAAACAAGAATAGAACAGAGAGAGAGAGATTAATGAGATTGCTGAAAAAAATTAAAGCAACAGGTAGAAATGCAGGATTTCTAAAACTGATGTAATAATGACAACAGTTGAAGGGAAAGTATAAGCATTCTGTGCAACTCTAAGTAATCAATTGCATTTTGGAAAGTTTCGTAAAGCTTAGGCCCACTTGCACAGTACAACTGCAGGAAAGTTGCTCAAATATCAATTTTGAAATTAAAATGAGATCCTATAGCTTACTTGGAACAACAGAGGTCTGGTGGAAACCAATGTTAACAACAATTCCTGAAGTTCGTCTTGCTGCATACAAAGCTAAAGTTGCCTACACATTTAATACGATAATTGCATTAGGGGGTAAGAGAGAACAACAACAAAACAGTTTTGTTGGTCATTCTATACAGAAATAAACTAAGGAATCCAAGTTTGATAACCTCTTTGCTTTTCTACCTTATAAAAACCATCAAAATATGCTGAAAATAAAATACATAAATACTCTACCTGATTGATAGCACAAACAGCAGGGACATTCATATCAAACAGAACTGAGTACATGGTTTCTTTTAGCTGCCTTCTAGATGCTTTAGCAGATTCTGTATCTAGAATAATACATTTAAAAATAAAATATATATTAAAAAAAGACAAATCAGATCATCGGAAATGCTATTGCAGGAGTGAAAAGGAGGGGAAAGTAAGGAGGAGAATAAAAAGTGTGATCAACCCCAATCATGAATCCATTTCCTCATCTACCATATCACCAAATCTCACAAAAGTTACACTGGAAGGGGGTAAATATAAGGAAAAGGATCATGCAGGTTCTTTTTCCACATAAAGTGGTCAGCTGGATGCCAACATAAAGTTTAGTTATTATTAATCACAAGTACACGTATTACATGTTCCCATAAGTTTTGGTAATTATTAAGCTGCTATAAAAACCCAGTCAGTCCTATGCTTCCAACAAAAGCCAACCAAAATAAAATTATTACAAAGGAATGATCTAAGAGTTTTTCCGTTATTTTGAATCCAGTCTCTAAAAAATTTGTGACAGAGGGCCTAAGAACTTCAGAACACTCTTTGTGTGTGTGTGTTGGTTTAACCCACATAAATATGACAATAACAAGAAGCAATGAGTTAAAATGTGAATTGAGTTGGAAAAACAATCAAAGGACTTGACTTGGCGCGATGACAAGTGCTATCCAACCCCAGCCTTGGGGTGTGGGTTTGAGTCAAGAGAATCAGCCTAGTGGGTGAGGTTGCCTACCTATTATCTCACCCAAACCCTACTATAAGTAGGAGCCTTGTGCATTGGGTATGACTTTTTTAAGTTGAAAAAAACTTTCTAACATAGAACATTATGAGAAACAACAGATGATCACTTATGAAAGAGGGGAAGGGTATCTGCCCTTACAAAAAATGAATATCCATTTATGAGAAACAACATATGATCACTTGTAGAGGGTTTTAAACAGTTTATTTCCTTCTACTGGCCCTTCAATGCAATCGGCATTCAAGTTTTTAGAACATGTTTTCTGCTTCTCTTAACCTTAGTTAAAAATATCTGCTCTGATAACATAGATGTGACGACCCCGCCATGTATAATATTTTGTAGAAATTTAATGTATAAAGAAAAATAGAGAATTGTATTATTGATTGATATAATGTTATATTTATTACAATGATTCATGATTCCTATATATAGAAGAGGGTGAGTGTGTAGTAGGTAAGGAGTAGGTGAAGTGGAGGTGGTAGTGGTGTAGTGGGTTAGGTTTAGTGGAGTAGGTGAGGTGGTAGTGGTGTAGTGGGTTAGGTTTAGTGGAGTAGGTTTAAGTGGGTGAAGTAGGTGATAGGTTTTAACATATTTTACATTTAATTAATTCTTATTCTAATTTAATTATGGATTCTCAATAAGGTGAAATTGACGAATTGAATTATTTTAATTTTGATTATCAGACTATATGAGAATTTAATTAACTATCTAATTCAGTTTAGTAACGTTGAAATTTTATTAATTGGGTCCGAATTAGAGTTGATTAAATTATAAAAAGAAAACAAAATAAATAAATAAATAAATAAATAAAGCAAAAACAAAGCAAGTGACAAGTAGCCTAAGATGATGATTAGGCATGCATAGGTGTGGTGAGTCACCTTAAAGGCATATGTTGGATAAGCATGAATTGATGGAGAGGCATTTGGATGTGCCACGTGTACTAGTGGTGGCTTGGGGCTCACGGATTGACTCCCCATAAATGGAGAGAAGATGTTCAAGGTAAGGCAAACAAAGAAAGGGGAAGAAAATACTAGAGGTAAAGAAGGTCTTTGATAGTGGAAAGAAAGAGCGAGGTATTAATTTTAAGGTGAGTTATATTATACCTTGAGTTACCATAGTATATTTTACGCATGTTTTGAATTACCATAATTTATTTTACGCAATTCGTATTTTATAAATTATATTACTATTCAATTACATTAATTATTTTCTGAACTCCATTTGTTTAAATAAAAACCTATGGATATATTTGTTTAAATTTTAATAATTACTTGACAATGATTTTGTAAACAATTATTTTCTGTAAGTACCACCATAGGAGTCCCATGCCTTGGGGGACTTAAATAAACCATTGACTTCTGTTTGGCCACTTTGTGGTCTTCTGTTTGTCATGGATCCATTGACCTCTATTCTGATTGTCACTCTTGTGACTTCTGTTCTGTTTTGTTTTGTATTGTGGTTATCGTTATTATTTTACATAATTTCTGTATTTCAGTTTCTGCCACTAAAATAATTAAGTTTATTCAATTTAAGTTGTGTTAATGTTTTAGCTTAAATAACTATTCATGGTTATTTTGTATTCTCTATACTCTTGGCATAATATTTCTCACTCTACCACATGCTTATAGTTGTTAACCACTTTCAGGTGGCGTGTCAAAACCAGTATATGAGGTAGGCACAAGGCACTTTGTAATCATAGTACAGTTCTGGTATTGCAATCTGTAGAAATTTAATGTATAAAGAAAAAATGATTGTGTTATTGATTCTTGTATTTGATATCTTATACTGTCTATTACAAATGGTTCCTTATATAGATGTAGGTGTAGTGGATGGTGGTAGTGGTGTAGTGGGTTAGGTTTAGTGAGGTGGTAGTGGTGTAGTGGGTTAGGTTTAGTGGAGTAGGTGAGGTGGTAGTGGTGGTAGGTGATGGTAAATTCTAACACAATCGAATAGGAGCTCCAATGTACATATTTTTGTTATACTTAAATGAAAATTTGGGTACCCTCTTATTTTACTCCGTTGTACTATTAATTTGTTATGACTTCAATTATTATCTTGTCACGACGCCGAATCCTCGGGTACTAAATTTGGGTCATGACAAATGGTATCAGAGTAATGGTTTTTCAAAAATAACATATTAGAGTACAGGACACACGCACAGTTACGTAGTGGGATGAGGGTATGCATGATAAGTTTGTGTGATTTTGTACCAAATTTGATATAAACATTACAGGGAAGCAAAAAAGAAGGGCGTCGGATGCTGCTAATGAGTAAGAAAGAATAAGTGTTTGGTCTGCGTGTTTGGTCCGTACCTAAATAGAGTAAGAGAAAGAATAGGCAAAAGAAGAAGAAGTAGAAAAAAAAAAAAAAAAAAAAAAAACCCATCACGTGGGTTTCAAAAAAAAAAAGGGAAAATATTAATTGGTAAGAGTGGATGGTAGGTATAGGAAAAGAAAAGTGAAAGGGTTTCCGAAACTGTCAAATTTTAAGTTGCTCAAAATCAAGTTTCAAGCATACAGGAGGTAGGAGTCCAAACCCAGAAAGAACAGGCAAAGCAAAGGTCAAGGTGGATTACACGCGCCGGTCAGATCTTTGCACATAAAGTCAATGCGGCCAAGAGGTTGAAGATGACCATTTTGTAGCCAATCTAGATACTTTAAATATTTATTTGGGATAAAGGAATCACAAGAATGAGTTTGGCTTAATGATTAAGGCGTATGGTGCTGATAAGGTAGTCAGGAGTTCGAATCCTCTTAGCAGCGTCTAAGGATTTAGATGTTTAGGTAGACATCATCACAGAATATTCTGTTGGTATCAACAAAATATTTTGAAAATTGCAATTTGGGTCCCTGAAGTTTTCAAAAATTACAATTCAGTCACAAGATTCCTGGAAATTTTCATTTTGGCCCATGTAGTTGTGAAATCACAGTTTGGCCCCAGGAGTTTGGGAAATTTGCTATTTTATATTTAAGAATGGAAAAGATAGGTGGTCAGTCATGTGTTTGGCATTATAGTTTTGTGTAATTATACATACAGAAGTTGCATGCATCTAGTAAATAAGTGATAAATTGTGCATTGAAGAATATGTATATATGTAAGTATTAAGGTTAAAACCTATGAGCTACGGGGAACTTTGATGATTATAAGAGGACCGAGACGTGTTCGTTAAATAGCATAAGCATTGGGTTTAAGAATTTAAAGCTGTTATTAAATTTTGATAATTAGGAGGAAACTAAAATGCGATGTTTAGTAAGTGTGATATTGAGACCAAGAGCTAAGAACTATTGAGAAATGTCTAACGTTATAAGGACATTAGAATTGTAAACTGGCATATTAGGGAGTACAAATATGATGATTTGTGAAAATATAGTATTATAAGAATTAACGGTTATTACGGAACTTCGACGATAAAAAAAGAGACTAGGATGTGTTTGTTTAGTAAGTTTAGTGTTGTAGTGAAGAGCTATTGTGAAATCTATAAGGAAGACGTAATTTTTGACTTGCACATTAGGGAATACAAGCATATTGATTTGTATGAATACGGTGTTATAAGGAATTAACTTTTGATGGAAGTGATGAAAGCTACGTGGTTACATGTGAAGTTAAGTTATGAGAACATTTCGGGAAGTTGAAATATCTGATGATCAATGAAGTGCATGGAATTATGGTGATTGGAGGCTAGGAAATTATTTGATATGAAGAAGGTATGTTGTTTTTGGGAGGGACCTAATGTTTGAGCCATAGGGTCTCATAATTTTGTTGAGTGACCTTGAAAGTTCGATTGAAATCATGTTCGGCCGGCGTAGCTTCACATCTGAAATTCTTGGTCAACTTCATGGAAATGAATAGGTTGCCCTACCGATGACCTTGTATAAGTGTTTGACTTACAATTGAATATATCGTGCTATGTTCAACTAACATTACCCCAAGTATTATCCACCTTTGCTTTGTGACTTAAGGAAAAGATGATGAGAAATATAAATGGTTTGGAAGTTGTTGAATCTCTGTCGGAAAAATTCACAAAGTGAAGCATTAGAAAACATAATGAAATCTATGCAAACATGTCATGAGAAACAGTAAAGATCAAAAGAAAAAGTTAAATGTAGAATTAACAATAGAATAAAAGAAGATATTTAAAAATTTTGTGGAATGAGAGGCAAACAATCCTAAGCAAAGTTGTAAAGAAATGAGCCTATCCCCAACATGTCCAACGTATTATAAACCGCATAGACAGTCATGTCATTGACTTATGAGAGGAAACTTTAATAGGACATCGAATGAAAGATTGTGAAAAAAAAATATATATATTTACAAGAAATCAATCAGATCAGATCGAAGATTGGTACTTCATAAATAGATAAAAATAAATAAATAAATAAATGCTAGTCAATGCAAAAAGCCTTGAATTAGAATTGACACCCTTCTAAATAATTTGAATTGATTGTGGGTAAATTTAGAATTCATCTATTTGAGCATTTGAAACTTGATATGAGATTGTTAAGATAATTAGAATGAGATTGTTATAAGGAAATTTGTGAGTAAAGTGTCTATATGTTAATGGATTCAGAATCCATCCATTCATTTGAAGTCAATTGTCATTAAGATGAATGTATCATTGGGAATTTTATTCTGTAAAACTATTTCATCACTAGTCAGAAAATTATATTATTTGGGAACGTTGTACAATAAGTATGGTCCAATACCTACGATATGGACCCTAGAATGTAATGTTGAATGTGAACGAATTTTCAATCTATCAAGTGAATGTGATCATACACCTAAGTGAGTCGTCTTTGACTTTCGAGATTAAATAGTTATCTTGTGGAACCAATGGAGAAAATTTTTCCCCACCGATTTGACTTGATGGCTTATGAATCCATAAGAACAAATAACCAAATTATTGTGGTCAAAAAATTTGTGGATTTAAATTTGTTATAGAGGTTGTATCACATGCCCAACCTATTTTGAAGACTATATAGGGGAGTACTTTGATTTGTTAAAACTAAGTAAGATCATGAATATCATTTGTCTATTTGGAGTAGTATATGTGATTAATAAGAGTAGTATGTTGGAATTAATATATTTTATGACTTAATATTTTACGAGGATGACTTTGAGATATGCTATATTTTACTAAATAGCTTTTGATATGAATTAGGACGAATTACAATTTGGGTTATTAACCACTAAATGAAAATGAGCTAAACTCCTGTGATAAGACAATCAAATGATGAGAAAATCGAATGATAAGAAAAGTTACTTGGGAAAAGCAAGGCCATATGATTAGTTTTCAGGTACAAGCACATTAAGTTTGGAGAACCAAACTTTCTAAAGGGGAGAGATTGTGACGACTCCACCACGTATAATATTTTACATTTAATTAATTCTTATTCTACTTTAATTATGGATTCTCAATAAGGTGAAATTGACGAATTAAATTATTTTAATTTCGAGTATCGGACTATATGAGAATTTAATTAAATATCTAATTCAGTTTAGTAACGTTGAAATTTTATTAATTGGGTCTGAATTAGAGTTGATTAAATTATAAAAAGAAAACAAAATAAATAAATAAATAAAACAAAAACGGAGTAAGTGACAAGTAGCCTAAGATGATGATTAGGCATGCATATGTGTGGCGAGTCACCTTAAAGGTATATGTTGGATAAGCATGAATTGATGGAGAGGCATTTGGATGTGCCACGTGTACTAGTGGTGGCTTGGGGCTCACGGATTGACTCCCTATAAATAGGGAGAAGATGTTCAAGGTAAGGCAAACAAAGAAAGGGGAAGAAGATACTAGAGATAAAGGTCTTTGATAGTGGAAAGAAAGAGCGAGGTATTAATTTTAAGGTGAGTTATATTATACCTTGAGTTACCATAATATATTTTACGCATGTTTTGGATTACCATAATTTATTTTACGCAATTCATATACATTGATTATTTTCTGAACTCTATTTGTTTAAATTGAAACCCATGGATATGTTTGTTTAAATTTTAATAATTATTTGACAATGGTTTTGTAAACAATTATTCTCTGTAAGTACCACCACGGGAGTTTCAAGCCTTGGAAGACTTAAACAAACCATTGACTTCTATTTGGCCACTTTGTGGTCCTCTGTTTGTCATGGATCTATTGATCTCTGTTTTGATTGTCACTCCTATGACCTCTGTTCTATTCTGTACCGTAGTTATGATTATTTATTTACATAATTTTCATATTTCAGTTTCTGCCACTAAAATAATTAAGTTTATTCAAATTAAGTTGTGCTGATGTTTTAGCTTAAATAACTATCCATGGTTATTTTGTATCTCCTATACTCTTGGCATAATATTTCTCATTCTGTCATGTGCTTATAATTATTAACCACTTTCAGGTGGCGTGTCAAAACCAGTGCATGAGTTAGGCACAAGGCACTTTGTAGTCATAGTACAATTCTGGTATTGCAATTGAATAAAAGCTCCAATGTACATATTTTTGTTATACTTAAATGAAGATTTGGGTACCCTTTTATTTTACTCCGCTGCACTATTAATTTAGTATGACTTCACTTATTATCTTGTCGCGACGCTGAACCCCTGGGTACCGAGTTTGGGTCATGACAATAGATACTCTTGCCAAAATTGAATAATCATAGACCAATATTTGAACAAAAGACAAAGAACACTGCACATGACCAAAAAGGAGATTGAATCACAACCCCACACGAAGGCCTTCGGCATAAATTTCTTAGAAAGCTGCTTGTCAATGCAAAAGGGTATAAGTTTTCAAGCATTAAGGCTTTAATAAACAGAAGTCAATAGTGAGAGGCATAAAATGTGGAGATCATAAAATATTAGCTCACCATCATAATGACAAATTGGAATGGACACAACAATTGGATGCGTAGATGTTTTCACCCGCATCCTGCCAGGAGAAATGGGTTAAGTCTTAAAAAAGGGAAAAATGGAAGAGTCACAAAATAAATAAGAAAGACAATGAAGAGTCAAGTAAAGATGCTTTTTGTTATCAGAAGTTATATATATGTATACACATAAGTCAAGTGCTTGTAATTCATTATAGGATACCAGGGATCGTAATACAAGTATACATGCCAATATGCCACTGTTAAAATTGCAAATATAGGACAAAAGCAGTATCAATAAATTGTGCAATGTGCCCACAATGACAAATCACAAATAATATATATATCTTAGTAGCAGGAATCGTTTCAGATGGCGACGACTCCGAGGAAAAAGCGCGATTTTGCGCTTCTGAGGAAGAATCGCAGCAGAATCGCGAATCTAAGGAGAGGGAAACGCGAATCTGATGCGAGAAAGGAGCACTATTGAGAGAGCAAGGAGAGTACCTAATTGCTGGCTTCGATCCTCTATTCGACGACTTCGATCTCGCCGTTTGACTTCCCTGTCGAAGCCCTAGTCTTCGTCCCTCTCTTCGAAGCCCTAGGTCTTCGTCTCTCTCTCTCTCTCTTCTCTCACCCTCGATCTCCTCTTCGTCTCTGCTTCTCTCTTTCTTCATCTCTGTTGCGCCTCTTGCTTCTCCCTCTCTCGATCTATTATGTTCTCTCTCTCTCTCTCTCTCTCCCTCTTCGTTTTCATTGTTTTATAAAAATATAATTTATCATATAATATATATAATATAATTTATAAATTATAAATTATAATATAATTTATCATAAACAATATAATTTTTATTTGTAAAATAAAAAATTATTTATTTTATCATATATAATATAATTTTTATTTATTATTTATTTTTTTAACAATTATTTCTTAACTTTTTAACATATAATAAATCATCTAATTGTTTAAAAGAAATCTATTTAAATCATATATAATAAAAAAATCTTAAAAAATTTACAAAATAAAACATCTAATTTTTATTTATTATTTATTTTAATATAATTTATTATTCATTATAATAAATAAAATATAATTAATAAAAATAATACATAAGCGCTCCTAATTTACGACTCCTCTAAATGGCCACGTTTCCCCGCTCCCGCTCCCGCTTCGTGCAACTAAGATATATATATATATATATATCTAATCAGATAAGATCTCAACAACACAGGAAGGGTTAAGATGCAATGTGGTGAAACCAATAAAAGAAAACAGACCTGTTGTAAATTGTTGCAAAAAAAAGTCTACGTCTAGTGTATGTTGGAGACTCGATGTTACCAAATTCCTGCACATCAGACAGACTTATATGCGGTATAAAAGTATGTATATATATTTATCCTGAAAGCTTCTAAACTGCCAAGTTTAACAAGAAGCTCACCGCAAATGTTGCAAACCGGCCAGATGGACAAGCATATTTGCTCCATCCAAACTTGCAGTAACCCAAACCAACTGTTCGCAAGAATAAAAAGATAAATAAACACACATCGAAAACATGATAGTCCGACAATGAAAAACTTTAGCGTATAAAGATGACCGATGTGATTGATAGACTGAATAATCACTTCAATGTTTTCTGTTTTTTATATTTCAAGAGTCTCTCTTGGCAATTCTGAAATAAGTAACCGGACATTACTACTACACTACAAAAAGTTTCTCCTCCATTAGCACAGTGGATAGATAAAACGTACTAGCTTTTACTCTATATATCCAGGGAATTAATAGTTTTGTCTGCTATCACATGCATAATTGGGTAAAAAAATTTGAAAACGTCTTTCAGAATATCGAAGAATTGCATAAGTGGGTGAAGTTGAAGTGCCACACCGTCAATAATAATAGCGCCAGGGACTTGTGCTCGCTGACCATAGATATGCATGAATGACAACTGAGAAATTTGATTAGGCAGTGCCCTGCATTCACATTCCATCAAATTAGAATTATCAAGAAACAATAAGCTCATGCTGAAGCATGCACACAAACCTCAAATTAATGGGCAAATAGAAAAAACAAAAGAATAATACAAAAGTGAGCTTAAAGTGAGTTTGGTTAGGAAGAAAGGCAGAAAGTGTAGCAAACAGAACCAAAAAAAAGAAAAAAAAAAAAAACTTTCTTTGCATTCGTTTAACACAAGAGTGATTGAAAGTGCAAAACACTTAAATTTCTGATACAACCCATACCAGAATGATAATTTGGCTTTCATTTTCTTGCAATAAATACAGGAAATTAGTGATTTTTTTTTTTTTTTTTTTTTTTTTTTTTTTTTTTTTTTTTTCCTCCCTCGTGAAAATGGCCAGGACCGAGTAGCCAAATGAAATCTCACTTCCCAATTTTCTTCTAACTTTATCACAAATATTTCAAAACCAAATTCATATGATAAAAATAAAATTTTCTTTCACTTGACTTTCTATTAATTTCACTACCCATCTTATTTTCCACCCTAATCAAACAGACCCTTACAAACCAGATATGATTAAGCAATTCAATCTTTGAGTTCAACTGTGCACTTTGTATTGTATAGAAACAACTTCAAGTATATGCTACATAAAAACAAAATCATATATATGCATACACATATCCAGAGCTTACTGAAAAGGATAGCCCAATCGCAGTTGAGTTTCGCCAAAGAAGATCGAGTCCCAAGACTCCTGCTGATTCTGAAGAAAGTACATCCACAATCGATTCTGGGCAACGATCAATTTCCACGATTTGCAAACAGAGCTGAGCTTGGCAGCTTCTTTGGGACCGAGAAGTTTCAAGATTTGAATCAATATGTCGAAAGGTATTCGATCAAATGCCCCAGTGGACGATTGAGCCAACACCATCTCTCGCCGCCGATCAGACGAGCTCGAATTCGAATTCGGGCGGTTCGAAACCGATCCCCAAACCTTTCGAAGTAACGAAGACATGGGTCTCGAGTTCGGCAATGAGTTCGATGGAAATCGGAGTGGTGGAGAAGAAGCAGAGAGCCACTGGTCATATCTAATGTGGGTCCGAAGGTTGCATTTTTGGACTGACCTCGCGTGATTCGCGTGCCATTGGTTCAACACTTTTATGGCTTGTTTATTTTGAATTAAAATAATTTGTGGTGGGGCTATCTTGTAATAATTTATTTTTTAATTCGTAATCATTAATAAAGGCTAAATTTAAAAAAAAAAAAAAAAAAAAAGAAAAAAGAAAGAAAAAAAGAAAACAGTTTTCAAAATTGGAAATTAGGGGGATTAGGGGGCAACTTTTTAGGGCTACAAATCATTTCCCTTAAAATAATTTGTGGTGGGGCTATCTCGTAATAATTTATTTTAGGGCAAATTACATATACACCCCTCGAGGTTTGGCTAAATTACAGATGCCCCTGAGGTTTGAGAAATTACAAATTCCCCCCTGAATGCTATATTTGCATAAGAAATTAGGGGGTAATTTGTTATGAAATATAAACCTCAGGGGGCAAATTGTTATGAAAATACAAACCTCAGGGGGCGGGATGTAATTTCCGAAACCTCAAGGGGTATCTGTAATTTAGCCAAACCTCGAGGGGTGTATATGTAATTTGCCTTTTATTTTTTAATTCGTAATCATTAATAAAGGCTAAATTTTATTCACTCAAAAAAATTACTAATAAAGGGTAATTTTGTTTTATACCTAGGAGACTGGAGATTCGATTCGACCAATAATCGTGATTCATAAAAGCAAATAAGTACATAAGAACCTCTAAGTTCATCTCCACCGCTGCTGAGCTAATTTCATCACTAAATTTAAGTTTGGTAAATAAATTTTCTTTTTATTTCAATGGTTTTGTTAAATTTATATTAAATTGAGAGTATAAAAATCATTTCACCAAACTGAGGATGTTTGGCACGTTTCGGCATTTTAATATGCATAGTTGTTGAGGATTTGACTCACCGGACGATTAACTGAACGTTTAGATAGATGTCCACCCGATCATCCTTTTACTTGAAAAATTCTCACAATAAAGCAATGGTTTAGACGATTGAGGGGATGTCCTCCCAGACAACCAATGTGTCAACAGCTTAGACCATCTCCAACGGTGAACCAAACCCAACATTAAATTCAAATTTGGATGAAAAACCTACTTTTTCAAGCTCCAACCGTTGCACCAGATTGATATCAAAATGAGATTTCAGCAAAAAAAGTATCAAACTGAGAACGAGACACAGATTTTACCAAATCACTGTTACTGACCGTTGAAAGAGGTACACCGATCAACCAGCCGGTTGCCCGGCCGATTGACCAACCGGTCAACCAGTAAAAGATTCAAACAGTTCAGGAAAAAAAGTTCAAACCGTTAAAAAATAAAAAATAAAAAAAATTTGCCTAACCGGCCAACCGGCCGGTCGACCACCCCGGTCGTCCCGAAAAAGTTCAGAAAGTTCAAAAAAAAGTTCAGACAATTCGGCAAAAAAAAAAAAAAAAAAAAAATTTTAAAAAAAAAAAAAAAATTTTTTGCCTAATCGGTCAACCGGCCGGTCGACCACCCGGTTGTCCCCGGATAGATTTGGTGAAAAGTGAACCGTTGGAGCGAGTGGTATCAAATTTAGTGAAATGGGTCATTTTTGATTCAAATTTGGTGAAAAATTTGAGTCACCGTTGGAGATGCTCTTAGCAAAATTGTTTGCTTTTTGTGGCACCAAGACTAAATTCCTTACCAACAGTGATGCATGGATAGTAGAGACAAATGCATTACATGTAGATTCAAAATTGTACTCAAATTAGCCATTGATTTTGCTCTCAAATTGTACTCAATCAGTGAACAAATAAGAAGTTGAGCTAGTCATTATGCTCTGCTTTTCAGTTATGGGAAATTATTAATGGAGGCAAACAAAAGTGAAAAATATTTAATGGAGGAAAAAAGAAATGGCAAAGGAATTGAGGGAAACAGAAATGAAGGGAAATAGGTTTTTGCGTTTTCTTTTATCGGTCGACCAGCTGGACGACCTGCGTTTTGACGGTCAAAATTCACTGTTGGAGAGCTGGATATCAGTTACAGGAATTCCTCAAATTTTTACTCAGATTTAATGAAATATTTGATACACCGTTGGAGATGTCCTAAGTAAACGAGGATTAACCATCAGTGGAGCAATAAAAATTATTTCACAAAAAAATAAAAAGGATTCTAATTTTTATTATTTATATTTATAATATTTTTTACTTATTTATAAGTATTTTTCAGTATGAGTTGTTTTGGGAAGATAGTTAAAAGTTAACTTTTGACCTTCTTTTTTTTAAACGTGTAAAAAATTTGAGAGATGATATAACCAAAAATAGGTTAAAAGCTAACTTTTGACTTTTTTTAAAAAAATAAAAGAACATGTGTTTCTTTTTTATTTATTATAACAATTCTAAGGGGTTGTTTGGGATGATCTAAAAACTTTTTATGAAATATGAGTTGGGTTTGAAGTGATATGGTAGAGAAGTGATGTGACTTAAATAAGATGATATGACTTAAATAGGATAGTAACTTTTTGAATTTTTTAAAGGATGCCAAACTTAGTTTAAGTGCTCGTTTAAGAAGTTGAGGTTTGAGGTTTTTTGACTAAAATAGCCACAAAAAAAATAAAATAGACTTTTTAGTCAAATAAGATAAAACATTATATCCAATCCATAATCATTGCATTATTTCTCTCACAAAAGTCAAAAGAACCAAAAAGTCTATTCCAAACGCGACTTTTTAGCCCCAGACTAAAATAGCCAAAAGTCAAAAAACCAACACATTTCCCAAACGAACCCTTAACACTGAAAGTTAGGTGTCATTTGGTAATACTGGTGTGTTTGGTAACGTTTACGTTTTTAGTTTATATTTATAAAAATTTTATAAATTGATTTTTGTTTATTCTTTGTTTATTTTTAGAAAAACATAAACTACAAACGCGTTTGGTAATTGACAAAATGTTTTAAAAAAATTTAAAATATAAAAAAGAGTGAGAAATGGCGAGTGGTGGCAAGTGGCGGCGGAAGACGGTAGTGGAAAGTGGTGACGGTTGGTAGTGGATAGCTGGTGGTGGTGGGCGGGTGGGTGGGTCATGCATACATATGTGAAATACTTTGCCATGCCCCTTTGTTGCTCTCTGTTGCAGTA